GATTATAATATTTACTATTCTGTTACCACAGTTATCTGTGACGTTGAAAGAAGAAATTATTGGCGTTATTGACAAACAAAAAGGGTATTTCTCCAAATTGTAGAGTAATAATAAACTCACAAAGTGTAATGAATAATTACCTAAAGAGTATTTTTTAAGAGTTCGAACTTTATTCGGTAGTATTTTTATTTAATTTTACGTCCATTAAACGACTCATAAACTATGACTCCAAAAGCAAGCTCATCTGTTCAAAGCTGAGGCCAACTTGGATCCGATTTCATTCTTGTTTGTCGCATGTGAATATTTTGCTGAAAACAGCTCCAAATCGATGAACAAAACATTGAATAAATTTTATTCAATCCATTTCAGTCATCTCAAAATGAGAAATTCCGTCATTTCGGCTTCAGTTGTCGGCTTGGCTACATCAAATGCTTTTTCTGATTCTATCACTCCTCGCACAACAGCTTACATGTTTGATGCAGAGATCAAAAAATTATCACAAATTTAAATATGATAACATTTGGGGTTCGATCTTCGGTCGGAGTCTTTGTATGCAATATAAAAGGAAGTTTATACGTTTAGATTTCGTCCATTAATAAGAATTCTATTTTGCAATTTATTTACGTTTGAGTACAAAATTTTTTATTTGCAAGAACCGTACTCATTGTCATGCATTGCTATTAACCAGCAAATTCTATATGTTTCTCTTTATGTATGACAGAGACTACGTGTGATATTTTCCGGAATATTATATTTCTTCAAGATTCAACAAATGAATAAAACAGTCAAATTACAAGTATTCAATATGATCTATACGTCTAAATGCGTTATGAAAAATGAGTAATTTATAGGGTATGAAAGTCACGCAAGTAACCTTTTTGCTCGCGTCATTCATCTTTATGACAATAAATGGTGTGCCAGTGAATACAACTCCATCAGGTGAGTATTCGAATTTACTGCATTTGCAAGCATGAAAATTGAAAGGGACAACTGTAACTATAAAGTAGTTTACACGTATATTATAAATATATAATTGATATAAGTTAATTACTCACGCAATGAATAATAATAATTATAAGATTAATCAAGAGGAAGAGAAACCAGATTGAATCTATCGTTGATTGAGCAAAAAATCAGAATAACCCTTCTCACTTTATGATTATTCTATAATAATAGAAATGGTTTAGAAGCAAATTTAGGTGATAATCCGTTGAGTCCGCAAAGTGATCAGATTTCTTTGAATTATGATTTAGTTCATGCTTTAATGTTGGAAAAGTCGCAAAATTTAGCAGATTCAAAACTACTCACTGCAAGGTACATTTTTTCATGTTGGTATTGTACCAATAATATATCATTATTTATAAAATTTTTCAGCAAAATTTTTTTTGAAAAATCTTTGTTTGGCTGAGTGCTAACGTTTGCAATATAGAGAACACAAGCAAATTCAAAAAGAAGTAACGGATGAATTAAATCGACGGATTCAAATTATTAGATTCCAAAATAATTTCTCCCCTCTTGAACAAGCAATAATTTTCAACGAATATTTAGACAGCGTGAAAGGTGCAACTGACGAAGACGGAAAGGTTTTTTTATTATTATTTAAAGTCATAAACAAGCGGATCAGATCTTTGTTTACTCACATTTGTACACACAAATAATTCTTTCATTGCCTAACAAACTATTAAGATTTTTCAGTGTGGTTGGAAACCGCAAATACTCATTGCTTTTGAAAGCCTATATCGGTCAAATTTAACTTATAATTCACAAGACTGTCCCGTTTTTTTAACAAATAACTTGGAAAGTCGTCTTTTTTCTCGTTCTCAGAGGATTAATTTTGCTGTTCACGGTTTGTGTTTTCAACTTTTGCATGCGAATATTTATTTCTAAGCAATTTCTGATGAGCCACGAAACCAGTTGCATTCACTGTTTCCATGTGTTTGGCTTCATAACTTTCAGTAATTGCTTCAGGCTTTCCTCGGATAATAAGTAGTTCAGACGGTGTGATCATACCTCAGATGTTGGACGCTTTTGTGAAAATCTTGAGCATAAAGAAACTATAGTTCGTTTTTAGTAAATTCCAAATACCACACAAAATAAATTGTTTTTTGAAATGAGTAAATTCCCTCAATTTTCGTCAACCAACTTCACTACGTTAGCAGCATTAATTGCTTTTTGTGACTTTTCAAGTTCATAAAACAGGAAATCGCTACTTGCAAGTTTGATTAAATATTCACGACGTTTGACGTGACAAATAATGTCTAAAATTCAGAAATTTCAAAATTAAATTTTCAGCAATGCAATTAACGAATACTTCGGTGACATCAGCGAACTTAAGAAGGCAAGTTTCTATAATAGTTTGAATTAGACGACAATTGTAGAGCGAATAAAGGTCAGTAATCACTATATAAAACAGTGAGCCAGGAATGAGCAGAAAGTTTCTCAGACCCCAGAAGACATACCAAAGGTTTTAATTTCTTTGATGCTTGCGAACATTTAAATCAGTTAGTTGCACACTGCAGCCCGATGTCAAACTTGTCTTGATGGTCTCATCGTTTTTTTGCCCAAAGATAGGACAAATATTATCCATCCCACTGCTGCACGCATCTAAACCTGTGCCATTATGTTTCGCTTATGGATATTTGCAAAACAAGCAAGAAATGTGAGTTATTTACTGCATTCATCCACGTGAATATTGCATACAGTCTTTAATAATTACTGTCTTTTAATTTTTACTGTTAAATTTGATCAGTTTGCTTTGCACTGTCAAAGTGAGGTCATACGCACTGCACTTTTGATACTTAACGCAGTACAGTACTCACAAGATGCGATTTAAAGTGATTACATTAAGCAGTTAGGGGTTTTAGTTGCGATTGTTTGTACGGTGGTGCATTGTAGTTAGAAATATTAGTGCATGCAAAATTTGAACTTCAGGTACGCTTGGGCAGAAGAGAATGACCTTCAAGCAGTGTCAAATCTCTTGATCTTCCGCGGAAAGAATATTGAGGTATCGACTCTTCGAATCGCGGACAACTTGCTTGGAGTTGCAATAAGAGGAAAATTAATTGAATGGAAGGTTTGATTTCATTTGCTGACATTTCAGATTAAAGTGTTACATTTCAGTATTTTCTGTTTTATTTTCAGAAAAAACAGCGTTTGGCGAGAACTGTTTTCAGAATGTTTAGGAAAATTTCTGGTATTTTCTGAGTAAAACTTTGTTACTTAGCTAAGCACTGCAATTTTACCAAACTTTGTGCAACGTTTCAAAGCCATTTAAAAAATGTATAATTATATTTGCAGCAAACAATTGATTTCCTTGACACTCATCAAATTATAGCTATTCATATTCCAACATCTTCAAGAAGTAACTTCAATGGTTTCGAACCGTTTCGGTGATGCTTACTTTTCTTTTTTGCATACTAATTTGCCAATAAATCTTTGACTGGTTTTATTACTAATTTAATTAAAAGTAAATTAATTGCCTTAACAAAGGGATCATTTTCAGTGAAGTATTCAATATCGAACCACTGTCGATGAGGCTTTATGGTCAAACGAATATTCAAGTTGGTAGAGGTTACTGGAATAACTCCGTGATGCCTAATGAAATCGAACATGGCCAGATATATATAATAGTTGGATTTAAAAAATTTAAGATCGTCGAAGAGGGGCTCTGTGAAGAAGTGAAAGAAACAGATGATAG